CCTCCATAGTGGGAAAATTTATGGAATCAATAATTGCCGAGGCAGTTCGTAGCCACCTTGAAAAGCATAAATTAATCAACGAATCTCAGCATGGTTTTAAAAAGGGGGCGTTCCTCCCTTTAAACGAATTTATTAACTTTTTTCACTAAGGTATTTGAGGAGGTAGATCATGGTAATGAATATGATATTGTGTATATGGACTTCAGTAAGGCTTTTGACAGGGTCCCACATCAGAGACTATTGAGGAAAATTAAAGCATATGGAATAGGAGGAGAAATTTTTTCCTGGATAGAGGCATGGTTGACAAATAGGCAGCAGAGAGTTTGCATAAATGGGGAGAAATCAGAGTGGGGAAGCGTCACGAGCGGTGTTCCACAGGGGTCAGTGTTGGGCCCCCTGCTGTACACAATCTACATAAACGACATAGATGAGGGCATAAAGAGCGACATCGGCAAGTTTGCCGATGACACCAAAATAGGCTGTTGAATTCATTCTGACGAGGACATTCGAGCACTCCAGGAAGATTTGAATAGACTGATGCAGTGGTCGGAGAAGTGGCAGATGCAGTTTAATATAGACAAATGCAAAGTTCTAATGTTGGACAGGACAATAACCATGCCACATATAAACTAAATAATGTAGATCTTAATATTATGGATTGCGAAAAAGATTTAGGAGTTCTGGTTAGCAGTAATCTGAAACCAAGACAACAGTGCATAAGTGTTTGCAATAAAGCTAATAGAATCCTTGGCTTCATATCAAGAAGCATAAATAATAGGAGTCCTCAGGTTGTTCTTCAACTCTATACATCCTTGGTTAGGCCTCATTTAGATTATGCTGCACAGTTTTGGTCACCGTATTACAGAATGGATATAAATTCTCTGGAAAATGTACAAAGGAGGATGACAAAGTTGATCCCATGTATCAGAAACCTTCCCTATGAGGATAGACTAAAGGCCCTGAAACTGCACTCTCTAGAAAGACGTAGAATTAGGGGGGATATGATCGAGGTGTATAAATGGAAGACAGGAATAAATAAAGGGAATGTAAATAGTGTGCTGAAAATATCTAGCCTAGACAGGACTCGCAGCAATGGTTTTAAATTGGAAAAATTCAGATTCAGGAAGGATATAGGAAAGTACTGGTTTGGTAATAGAGTTGTGGATGAGTGGAACAAACTCCCAAGTACCGTTCTAGAGGCCAGAACGTTGTGTAGCTTTAAAAATAGGTTGGATAAATACATGAGTAGATGTGGGTGGGTGTGAGTTAGACCTGATAGCTTGTGCTACCAGGTCGGTTGCCGTGTTCCTCCCTTAAGTCAATGTGACCTGACCTGACTAGGTTGGGTGCATTGGCTTAAGCCGGTAGGAGACTTGGACCTGCCTCGCATGGGCCAGTAGGCCTTCTGCAGTGTTCCTTCGTTCTTATGTTCATTGTATTCAACACAACAACTGCACTAATTTGTTTATCATTATATTGCTTACAAAACTTGTTTACAAGTTTATTGTAAACAAAATGATGAAAATATTAGGGCAGTTATTGTGTTGAATACAACTGTACCATATGGTACAAAGGTGCCATATGGTACAATGGTACCATATGATACAATGGTACCATATGATACAATGGTACCATATGGTACAATGGCACTATTTGGTACAATGGTATCATATGAGACAATGGTACTATATGGTGCAATGGTACCATATGGTACATTGTACCATACAATACAATAATACCATATGGTTCATTGTACCATACGGTACTATATGGTACTGTTGCATTCAACACAATAAACACACTAATATTTTCATCTTTATTTTGTTTACAATAATTGTTTACAACAAAAATATGCAGAAATGTTGTATATTAGTAATGTTCTATTATATATTTACAAATGCACAGGAACTGGACGTGTTCCTTGAGGTGGATGACAGAGCGCTTTGTCTTGGAAACTGCTGAGTCAGTAGCTAGCTTGCGTCGCCACTCACTCAGTCTTGGCTGGTGCCTGCTGCCACCAACATGTCCTATTGACCATATGGTACATGGTATCATATGTTACAGGGTACCATATGGTATATTGTACTATATGGTATAGGGTACCATACAGTACAGGATAACATATGGTGCAGGGTACCATATGGCACAGGGTACCATATGGTACACGGTACCATTTGGTACACGGTACCATTTGGTACACGGTAAATATTTATTTATATATTACGTACATTGTTTAACCCCTTGACTGTCGCAACCCCAAATCCTGAGGTGTCTCGGTGTCGCAAAAAAAAAAAAAAATTTTCTTATGAAATGATAGAGAATCTTTTCTCGATTGTAAAGACACCAAAAGAATGAAATTTGATGGAAAACTGATGGAATTACTCTCTCGCGAAGATAGCTAGCAACCACAGCGATATTTACGAATAGATGATTTCGCCCACTTTGAGCCCTATTTTCAGCTAATTCCATTGTTCCAGTCGACCAAACTCATAGCTATTTCTTTAGAACTCCATTTTTTCTATCGACTGAGTTCAAGAAACTGCCCATTTACCAATTTCAACTACCCAATAATGTAGGTCAGAAATTTGCAATTTGGCAGATTTACGAAAATTAAAAAATATGACAATTTCAAAATAGGGCCCACAATAAACAATGCAGACATTCCTGGCTCTAAAATAACATTTTCTTTGTTTATCAGTCATGTCTCCAGGCCCCTTTGATGTTACTCTTGCTTTCTATCTTGAATTTTTATTCAAACAAAAAATAGAAGATTTACTGTTATGCAGACTACTGCAATATTGTAATAATTGTATAAATAATGTCAGTTCATTCATGACTGCATATTAGAATGGCTACTTGGACATTTATTGGGAAGTGACATCATTTGTTTACTTTTGAACATTGGCAAAAATCAAACATTTCCCCTACTTTGAGCTCCATTTCAAGGTTCTTTTCATAGTAAAACCAATCAAAATCACATCTATTTCTATAATATGTTTTCCATTCTATGAAATGAGACCAAGAAAACGAGAATACAACCATAAATACTATACAAAAATAGACCACAAAGTCGGCATTTTAATTAATAAAAAAAAAAAAAAGGTTGGAATGTCGGCATTTTAATTAATAAAAAAAAAAAAAAAAGGTTGGAATTCTTTCTCATCATGCACTGCGTGCTGCAGGATTTTTTTCTATGGTGCACACTGACCACACAGACCCATTCTCTCACATGTGGGCCTACCAGCTTTCTCCTGTTTAATTTGAAGCCACTAGAATTTATGAGTATATATACGTCAAAAATGGTTGCTCGTAAGACGTATATATACAACCAAAACAGTCAAAGAGGTAAGTGTGATAGTGGTGGTGGGTTCTGCTGGTGCCTACACCACCACCACTATGTACGGCTTCTCTCAGTGGCCCTGATATACCCAACAACACTTACACCATTTACTCCTCTCATACATTATGACATTTTATTCATTCTAGAATATATATATCAAGTTTATATGTTATTAATATTGTTTATAATGTCATATTAGATGAATTGTGATACATAAATAAGCCATAGAGATGATATTAGCATCACATTGAAGCATAATAAACTTGCCTTCCTCTTGCCTCCTACGTGTCTACCATACACCAACAAGTCAAGTCAATGAAGGTAACTGTGATGTTAAATGTTCATTTATCCCTTTTATTAGTGCTTTATATTTATTTGTCATTGTTTTCTGTATGTATATTTATATTTAATCTTTAAAAAAAATATTTTTTGTTGATACTTTTTTACCGTCTGAAACGGATTAATTGGATTTACATTATTTCTTATAGGGAAAATTAATTTGACTAAAGGATTAAAGGCGTTACCCGAGGGTCCACTGTATACAATATTTTTCCATGTTTTTGGTGTAAACAAGTTTTGTAAACAATATAATGATGAAAATATTAGTACGGCTATTGTGTTGAATACAATGGGTGTACATATTTACATTATGCATTATATTGGTCTCACAGGCTACAAAAGTTACTGAGAAAAAAATTTTAGAAAAGAAAAAAAAATGCGACTGTATAGAAGTCGTCGATGTTGCCACCACCAAGTCACTGAGGGTCAACTTCACGCCTCTATCTTGGTAAGTGCTGATCGGAATTTTTTTTTATTACCTTTAAAAAGATATCTAATTCTAAAAGATTTTTTTTTTTTAAATTTTTGGACCTGGCTGGTTTTCTGAGATTTGGGTTCTGGACCCCTCAAAGGGTTAAAAACCCATAAAACAAACTAAAAGGGGGGCCCTTACCTGTCCTCAGGAATATCAGCAAAATAGAATATTTCTGCTACTTCAAGCTCAATTTCAAGCTACTTATGGGCCTGAAAGCTATCAAGATCATCATTCAATCAAATGGTACCAAAAAAAACAGCCAATAAAACCAATGAAGAAAACACCTCAAAGTCCCTATTTTAAGCTACACACACAGCTCAAGTTTTTTCAATCTTGCACCTTGAGGGGCAGGATTTTTTTTTTGTGTGCACACTCACCACACAGACCCATCGTCTCGTATCTAAGCAAAATTTACCGCTCACAGGCTATCTGAGCGAGCTGAGCTCACGACACAGAACTACAGGAGGGACCCTGGCCTCGATTAAGTACTAGTTCTATGTGATGGCCACTGAAAGGGTTAAATTGCACTAGTCTAGTCATATATAATTATATCCTAAATTCAGAACATTTGTGCCCACAAAGCTCAAATGTAATACAGGAGGCTCGATCCTCTGATGTATCCAACAGGAGTACAGTGTCATGACATTGAGCTGACACACTTCTGGCAAGACAGCTATTGAATGAATACCGTTTATGAGAGAGAGTCACTCAAATTCAGTGGGAGACTGCTGGTGAAAAGAAAAAGGTGTCAATAAATATAAAAATATTTGAAATTTAAATGACATTACAGTCCAGTACTATTTGACCATTTATGCATTTCCAAAGAGTTTGATAATAAGAACCAACCAGTAGTTTGGACGATGATGGCATGGACACAATATCCTTGGAACCATCTGGCAGTCTCAGCAGCAGTTTTGACTCAGGGTCAGCAGATGGCCCAAGATATGACTTCCACTCTTCTTCACTACTGCAACATGTATTTGCTGAGTCACATGACTTTTCTTCATTATTTAAGTTACTAATTTCCGTATTTTTATCCTCGTCTGATCTTACTAATCTTTTGTTTAAAATTGTATCACCATTGAATGTTCTCTTCACAGTTTCCTTCACAGTAATTTTATTATCAAGGGAATAATCAACCTCATCTGTATCAGAGTCAAAGGTCTCCAGTGTGTCAGAGTCTTCTTTATCATCATCATCATCATCATTGTCATCATCATCATCATCCCCATCATTTTCAGCTGTTTTTGGACTGGATTTATTACTCATGTCTCCAGCAAGTGAGGCTTTAATAGCAGCCTCTATCTGGGATGCCTCATCAGCCTCCAATATACTGTCACTCAGTTCCTGAAATACATAGTAAAATTCAATCCAACATGCAAATGTACACCAATAATTTTAAACAATTTTATTAAGTTCAAGAAGATATTTCTTATTTCCTTATTATTTATTCATTAATATTATAATTATACATTTAAGGGGAAGCACTGAACCTGTGGGAATCACACAGCACCTAGGGAATGGAAGGCAAGCCAGTTTGATCTGAGGAACAGGAGGATAGCACTAATTCCTGGGATCAAGAGTCCTTACCAGAATCAAGGCACCTACTTTGAAGAGCAAAAACAAAAGTGATTGCATTCTATAAACAAGCAAATTTTACATAGATTTTACAGAAATTAAAATTGTCCAAGACCTCAATATGTTATTACATATTATTACAATCACAACTTAGTGCTAAACCCACAAGGATCATATAACACTGTAATGTAAGGTGTGCTAAAGGTGTAATATGTCTGATATGAGACCAGCAAGGGTGAAGAGTTAGGGAAGGTGGTGAGTGTTAAAGGGAAGTATAATCAAAGTTGGTGTAGTAAAGCAGTTGCTGACAAAAAAAGGTAAAGAGGGAGTCTGTGTCAACGGTGAGGCTGTCGGCAAGGAGGTCAGATAAAGTAAGGGTGTTAGAGTGGTGATGATGCTGGAGATACATTCTGCATTATCGCGCTACAATATGTTAAAAGGTCTTCTAGTGCAGATAAATATGTAGCAGGCTGGTAGAGAGCAACCAGCTAGGGAGCTACTACATTCCTCTTATAAAATCAAAGCAAGTTAACATTTGACATGCTGGTAAACTTACTGGTCTTGTGTCTCAATAACACACAAGATGACTTGTAAATCTTACAAACTTCCACCAACATTCTTTGCTTTCTTCTCCATTAAAGTATTTCCTATTGTAGTGTTTACTTTCAAATTCCCTTGGGGAAATGGGTTGCAGTTCTATTGCCATAAGCTGCATGAACTGTAGACAGTGGCTAAAATTCCAGGTACAAGGGGCTGGTTACCCCCATTTTGTATGCAATTACTAAAAAAAAAAAAAAAAGTGTAGAGATGTACAACACACCTTATGCAATGACAGAATGCTAATGTTATGAATGAAAGTGGATGTCCAAGCATTGAGTGAAACAGTCAGTTTTCAGAGAGAACAAGAATTTAAGTAGTAGCAGTAACAATAAATGAGTAATTGTTAGTGTTCAGATATTTGGGAGTAAATTTGTCAGCAGCCATTTATGAAGGATGACGTTAACTATAGAAATGATGAAGGAAAAAAGCGAGTGGTGCATTGAGGTATCTGTGGAGACAAAAAAAAAAAACATTATCCATGGAGGCAAAGAAGGGAATGTATGAGAATATAATTTTTTTTTTTTCAACAAGTCGGCCATCTCCCACCGAGGCAGGGTGACCCAAAAAGAAAGAAAATCCCCAAAAGGAAAATACTTTCATCATTCAACACTTTTACCTCACTCACACAAAATCACTGTTTTTGCAGAGGTGCTCAGAACACAACAGTTTAGAAGCATATACGTATAAAGACACACAACATATCCCTCCAAACTGCTAATATCCTGAAACCCCTCCTTTAGAGTGCAGGCATTGTACTTCCCATTTCCAGGACTCAAGTCCAACTATATAAAAATAACCGGTTTCCCTGAATCCCTTCACTAAATATTACCCTGCTCACACTCCAACAGATTGTCAGGTCCCAAATACCATTCATCTCCATTCACTCCTATCAAACACACTCATGCACGCCTGCAGGAAGTCCAAGCCCCTCGCCCACAAAACCTCCCTTACCCCTTCCTTCCAACCTTTTCGAGGACGACCCCTACCCCACCTTCCTTCTCCTACAGATTTAAATGCTCTCCATGTCATTCTACTTTGATCCATTCTCTCTAAATGACCAAACCACCTCAACAACCCCTCTTCAGCCCTCTGACTAATACTTTTATTAACTCCACACCTCCTAATTTCCACACTCCTAATTTTCTGCATAATATTTACACCACACATTGCCTTTAGACAGGACATCTCCACTGCCTCCAACAGCCTCCTCGCGCTGCATTCACAACCCAAGCTTCACACCCATATAAGTGTTGGTACTATTATACTTTCATACATTCCCTTCTTTGCCTCCATAGATAACATTTTTTGACTCCACATATACCTCAATGCACCACTCACCTTTTTTCCCTCATCAATTCTATGATTAACCTCATCCTTCATAAATCCATCCGCCGACACGTCAACTCCCAAGTATCTGAAAACATTCACTTCCATACTCCTCCTTCCCAATTTGATATCAAATTTTTCTTTATCTAACTCATTATATACCCTCATCACCTTACTCTTTTCTATGTTCACTTCAACTTTCTACCTTTACACACACACTCCCAAACTCATCCACTAACCTTTGCAATTTTTCTTTAGAATCTCCCATAAGCACAGTATCATCAGCAAAAAGAAACTGTGTCAATTCCCACGTTGTATTTGATTCTCCATAATTTAATCCCACCCCTCTCCCGAACGCCCTATCATTTAATTCTTTTACAACCCCATCTATAAATATATTAAACAACCATGGTGACATTACACGTCACTGTCGAAGACCTACTTTTACCGGAAAGTAGTCTCCCTCTCTTCTACACACCCTAACCTGAGCCTCACTATCCTCATAAAAACTCTTTACAGCATTTAGTAACTTACCACCTATTCCATATACTTGCAACATCTGCTACATTGCTCCCCTATCCACTCTATCATATGCATTTTCTAAATCCATAAATGTCATAAAAACTTCCCTACCTTTATCTAAATACTGTTCACATATACGCTTCAATGTAAACCCTTGATCTACACACCCTTTCTACTTACTCTGAAACCTCCTTGCTCATCTGCAATCCTACATTCTGTCCTTGCCTCTAATTCTTTCAATTATAACCCTACCGTACACTTTCCTGGTATACTCAGTAAACTTATTTCTCTATAATTTTTACAATCTCTTTTGTCCCCCTTCCCCTTTTATATAAAAGGGACTATACATGCTCTCCGCCAATTTCTAGGTACCTTCCCCTCTTTCATACATTTATTAAACGAAAGAAACCAACCACACCAAACCCACTATATTCCCCCCAGCATTTAACTTTTTCTTTTCATGATCTCATCAGTTCCAGCTGCTTTACCCCCTTTCATTCTATGTAATGCCTCACATACCTCCCCCCACTTACATTCTGCTCTTCTTCACTCCTAAAAGATGGTATACCTCCCTGGCCAGTGCATGAAATTGCCCCCTCCCTTTCTTCCTCAACATTTAAAAGTTCCTCAAAGTATCTCGCATCTACCTAATACCTCTCTCCCTATTTACTAACTTCCCTACTCTTTTTTAACTGACAAAATCCATACTTTCCCCTAGGCTTCTTACTCTTTAACTTCTTTCATAAAAATTTTACTTATTTTCATTCTAAAATTGCTTGACAGATGCACTCACATTCTATCAATCTGACTTCATTGCACTCCTTCGACCATTTTACTCTCCAAATAATCTAGCTCTTCAGTTACATTTTTTCTCATGTAAAAACCTCTCAATAATTTTTTCTTTTTATCACACCCTTTGACTCATCATTATACCAACCACTCTCTTTCCTCCGATAACCATAAACTTCTGCCCACATTCTATACGCTTTTTAAATACAATCCAAACCCTCTTCAAACCTCCCCCCCCCCCCGCTACCCATCTTGCACTGAAGCCACTTTCTGCCAATAGTTGTTTATATCTCACCTAAAACTTCCCCCTCCCTTATTTTATCACTTCACTTCCCCCAAAAAATTGTTGTTGCCACCTTCCTCTTGCCCCTCTACCTTTACCTAACGTGCTAAAACCAAAAATAATGCCCGTATTTCGTTCCCCCTCTTTTAAACATGTACCCGGGACCCCTACCCAAACCTTTTATCCCCCAATACTAATCAACAAAGAATTTTTTACGGTTAAATCATACCTTGTATATTTATTTATCCTCTTTTTCAAAAAATATGTATTACTTATTTACCAAACTCTTTCTACACAAGCTAAATTAAAGGCTCCCCATTTATTTTTCCCCTGGCCCCCAAAAATTTACCTACTACTCCCCCCACAAATTTTTACCTACTTTAGCATTGAAAAACCCCCCAAACCCCAATTACTCTCAACTTGGTTCAAAACTCCCAAAGCATTCACTCAAATTTCCAAAAAAATTTCTCTCACTCTACACTTCTCTCTTCTCCGGGCATATCCTTACTATAACCCACTTTTCAATCCAATCTTTATTTTACTCCACATAATCCTTGAAATTTAAAACATTTAAGTCCCCCTTTTCCTCCTAATTACCTTCAACATTATTGCTACTCCTTCTTTAGCTTAAAAAATTTAAACTCCCGTCAATCCCCTTATTCCCCCTCCATGAAACTCCCCACCCCCTTTACTTTGTTTCACTTTAAAACCGGCATCCCGCTTTTTCTCATTCAAACTCCCAAAAACATTCTTTTTTTTCATTTGCACAACACCCCACACATTAGACTTCCCACTTTACAACACTTAAATGGATGTGAAGCAGGGTTGGAATGCGCAGCGAGAAAAAGGTGGAGGCAATGGAGACATCGTGTCCCAAAGGGAAAAACATGGTTTTAAAAAATTTTGCAGAGAATTCACGTGTGGACTTAGGTAGTGTGGAATTACTAAAAGTATTATTCAGAGGGTTGAAGAGGTGTTACTGAGGTGGTTTGATCATTGAAAGAAGATGGAGTAAAATAGGTTGACTTGCTAGGGTGTATAAATCTGTAGTGAAGGGATAGGGGTTGTCCTAGCAAAGGATGGATGGAGTAAAAGAGGTTTTGTGGGCAAATGGTCTGGACATGCAGTAGGCATGTGTGAGCATGTTAGATAAGAGTGAATGGAGACGAATGGTTTTTGTGGCCTGATAAGCTGTTTTGAAGTGTGAGAAAGGTAATATTTTGTGAAGGGACTCATGGGAAACTGGTTA